CTGTTTTTATTTTTCCTTCCCTTCCCCTATGTTTATCTGTTTTGTTTCTTAAATTCCACATATGAGTGAAACCATATACTTGTCTTTCTCTGAACGACATTTTTCATCTAGCATAATACTCTAGTTCCATCCATGTCATAGCAAATGTCAAGATTTCATTCTTTTTGTTGGGGGATTAATATTCTGTCATACACACACACCCCCCCCCATGTCTTCTTTATCCGTTCATCAGTTGATGGACATTTGGGCTCTTTTTATAATTTGGCTATTTTTGATAGTACAGCTGTAAACAATGGGGTGCATGTGCCCCTTTGAATCAGCATTTTTGTATCCTTTGGATAAATACCTAGAAGTGCAATTGCTGGGTCATAGGATAGTTCTATTTTTAACTTTTTGAGGAAACGCCATACTGTTTTCCAAAGTGACTGCACCAGTTTGCATTCCTACGAACAGTGTAAAAGGGTTCCCCTTTCTCCACATCCTCACCAATGTCTGTTGTTTCCTGAGTTATTAATTTTAGTCATTATGACAGGTGTGAGGTGGTGTCTGATTGTGGTTTTGACTTATTTTTCCGTGATGATGAGTGATGTTGAGTATCTTTTCACGTGTCTGTTAGCCATCTGGATGTCTTCTTTCAGAAAGTGTCTATTCATGTCTTCTGCCCATTTCTTAACTGGATTATTTGTTGGGTGTTGAGTTTGTAAGTTCTTTACAGATTTTGGACACTAGCCCTTTATCTGTTATGTCATTTGCAAATATCTTCTCTCATTCCATTGGTTGCCTTTTAGTTTTGTTGATTGTTTCCTTCACTATGCAGAAGGTTTTTATCTTCATGAGGTCCCAATAGTTCATTTTTGCTTTTGTTTCCCATGCCTCTAGAGACATGCCTAGTAAGAAGTAGGTGTTGCCAAAGTCAGAGAATTTCTCCTGCTTTCTCCTCTAGAATTCTGATGGTTTCCTGTTTTACATTTAGGTGTTTCATCCATTTCGAATTTATTTTTGTGTACGGTGTAAGAAAATGGTCTAGTTTCATTTTTCTGCATGTTGCTGTCCAGTTTGCCCAACACCTTGAAGAGACTGTCTTTTTTCCATTGGATATATTTTTTTGAAGATTTTTTTAAGTTTTATTTATTTATTTGAGAGAGAGAGCACACATGCATGCTCATAGAGGGGTAGAGGGAGAAGGAGAGAAGCAGACTCCCCACTGAGCATGGAGCCTGAAGTGGGGCTTGATTCCACGACCTAGGAGATCATGACGTGGGCCAAAACCAAGAGTCAGTGCTCAACCGACTGAGCCACCCAGGCGTCCCTCCACTGGATATTCTTTCCTGCTTTGTTGAAGATTAGTTGGCCATACGGTTGTGGGTCCTCCTTTTTTTTTTTATTTTTCATCCTTATTTCTCTTATATTCTTTTAACTTATCTTTTAATTATTTTTGTTTTTAAAGATTTTATTTAATCATTAGAGAGAGAGTGCACATAAGCAGGGGGGAAGGCAGAGGAAGAGGGAGAAGCAGGCTCCCCGTGGAGCAGGGAGCCTGATGCGGGGCTCGATCCCAGGACCTGGAGACCATGACCTGAGCTGAAGGCAGACGCTTAACCATCTGAGCCACCCAGGCACCCCTTCTAATTACTACTTTAAACTATGTCTTATCTAGGCTGTTATGCTTGCTCATTGAGTTTTTACTTTTGGTTGTAGAATTTTTCAGTTTTAGAGATTTCCCTTGGTTTCTTTTTATGGTTTCTTATTCTCACAAAATTCTCAACCTTGTTTTCTATTGTCTTATACACAATAATGTAAGAAAATTTCTTTTAGAATCGTTGTTTAATCTAATAGTGAGGCCCTTTTGTCTGTTGTCTTTTTGCTTCTTGTGACTTTAATTCATGTCACCTTATCTTCCCAGGTACTTGAGTTTTAAAATTAAAAAAAATTATTGTGTCACAATTGTGTCACATTTATTTGTAAAATTGTTTTTTTTTTTTTAAAGACTTTATTCATTTATTCGAGACAGAGAGAATGAGAGACAGAGAGCATGAGAGGGAGGAGGGTCAGAGGGAGAAGCAGACTCCCTGCTGTGCAGGGAGCCCGATGTGGGACTCAATCCCGGGACTCCAGGATCATGACCTGAGCCGAAGGCAGTCGCTTAACCAACTGAGCCACCCAGGCACCCTGTAAAATTGTTTTTTAGAGCAAGTTGCAACCTATTCTAATATCATTCGTCTAAATTACCCTTGTTAGGAATAATAAGGGCAAACCTTTAAAGTCTGTATCCAAAATGAAGGGGGTGTTCACCAGGGCTTCTCCACTCCTTGCTGGTGTAATCTGTGTATCTTTGAATTTGAAGACTGTCAGCAGGCATTCAGTCTCCCAGCCACCTCTCTGGAACTGGCAGATGCCTCTAGGGGAAGAGTGGTCCCAAATGCCAGTCTCATCTTTCTGCATCCACATTCTCTTCTGTTCCCATTTCAGTAAATATTTATTCTTTTGTTAGTTTCCATTGTCTTCAGATTATTAAAATACATGTCCAGCTTCTCTTGTCCTAAGCAGGAGGCTTGATCTAAATTACCTTTTCCTCTAGTACTGGAAGTGAAGACCATCTTCAGATTTCTTGGTGTAAGAGATTGATAATACATTTCCCACGGTGTTTGAGGTAGTTGGGGTTTTTGTTTTTAGCTAAAAGCATTTTTATATAATTAGCATAAAAGATACAAGTTCTTTGTAAACTTGGAATATAGAATTGTGGAACCACTTTTGAAGGTCAGAGAAAGAATTAATGTTTTATGAGGACTTTCCGTCTATATTACTAGATATCTATTTGGAGGATACCATATTTTCCAAGATTATCATTGATAAGTTGATTATTACTGGACTGGAGAGCTGAATATATGTTCAAAACACTAAAAACAGATATAAAATTTATTCTGACCTTGGTAAGACTTGTGCAAATGGACAGATAGTTTTCTGTGATTCTGAAATATTCCTAGAGGAGAAAAGTCTGAAAATGACTATTGGCAGTTGTAGCCCAGGAGTTCATAACTTTGAATCAGGAAGATCCCAGAGGGCAGTACACATGTTTGCAATGGAACTAGAGTTGGAGATGAGGCTGTGAAAATTACTAATGGGAAACCTCATTAAAATGAAGATGGGAGATTCAGCAAGGGGAGCTCTCACTCCCTACCACTCATAGTCAGTTGTAGACCCAACAGGAAGATATGTACTTGATTTTGCACCTGGTTGCTCCTTTACAATCCCAACTGGAGGAAGAAACTTTTTTTTTTTAAGGTTAATAAGGTAATGGTGGTGGTGATTGAGAAATGGATATCCTGCAATTAGTCCTGAAAAGCACTTGTAGTAGATTTTAGTGCCAAAAGGGAAGGATTTAAATCATTTTAACCCTGTTTTCCTAAAATGTCCAGGTCTTTGTGAATTATATGTGCGATGGGACTGAACTTCCATTTTAAAGTAGGAGTTAGAATATTTACTGTCAACTGGAATAAGAAAAAAAAATTACTCATTTTATCTTAGAAATCTTTGTTTCATTGGTAGTGGGACTGAAGAATAGGTCTTGGTTTTTCTTATGTAGTTTAAGCTTTTAGCTAATTAAAATTAAAACCTGGGACACCTGGATGGCTCAGTTAGTTAAGTGTCTGCCTTCCGCTCAGGTCATGATCTGGGGTCCTGGGATCGAGTCCTGCATTGGGCTCCCTGCTTCATGGGGAGCCTGTTTCTCCCTCTGCCTCTGCCCCCCCCGTCTCTCGTGAATGAATAAATAAAATCTTAAAAAAAAAAAAAAGACCTTATAATACTTTTTGGTGGTATTATTACAAAGTATGAGGTAAGTTTATTATATGTTTCTATCTTTTAAAAATTATTTGGATCAAAAAGCAGGTCAAAATTACATGCCAGTTTTATGATCCAGTTAATTAATTCCCTGACAAATAACTTACTTTTGATAGGATAATGTTGTGGCAGCTGTTACAAACAGTGCATTGTTGCACGTTTAACATGAGTAAGAACTTTTCTTGGAGGACTTTGTCCCTTCTATTAAAATGTGATTTGACAGGAAACCAAAGTAACTTCAATTTTAGTTTAAAAGTCTTAGGTAATATGCAGACATCACATTAATTTATCAGAAATGGTATATTAAAAGAAAGACTAAGTAATTTGATGGTTGGTTTTATGTGCTAAAGATCTTGTAGTAGGAAAAGGTATTTCATGATGACTCATGACTGAGGGAGATGCTATTAGAAAAAAATACATATAATCTTCACAAAGATTCATGAAGCTAAAGGGGAGAGAATTATTTTGATGAAAACTTTTGTTTTTAATTATTTACAATAAGAACACTCTGTCATCATTTTTTTTTTTTACTTCTAAATATAACAAACAGTTACTTTCATAATCCTGGATCAGTGCTTTTGGGGATAGCTGAAGTGATTTACTTTCCTGTTTTTAGTGCATAACACATAGGTGATTAACATTTTTGTGTTGACTGATTTCTCATGAGTCTGCAGCATGAGTACAGTTCACCTTGTGTCAGGTAAAAGACCCTTTGTAGCATTAATCACATAGTTACTTGCTGAAGGTCATCTTTGTGAAGATTATAATTTTCTCTAACCATTTGTCAAGTTCTAAGTGGCTTTTCTCTGATTTCAGAGTATGGATTTTGTAGTAGGATCATTCTATGAAGTTTACCGTAGTAGCTTCAGGGAATATCCATGGTTTGTGAATCCGGGAGTACCTAAACTAGAAGAGTCAGTAATTCTAGTTAGGTTAATAATTGAAGATGTGACATTGATGGTCACAGAAACTTAGTGTGGAGTAAAGAAAATGTGTTAAGATACGATTCAACTTTGTTCTTTTTGTTTTATGAACAATTAAAAAATCGGAAAATTTGGGTTTTGTTATAGAAATGATAGTTGAATAACAAGAAGGGATAAAAAGAATGTCACAGTGAATGAGTTTAATTCATCACTAACTAAGTGCATTTCTCTGTGCAGGTATAATTTGGCATCCTGAGAGTCTGTCTTAGGAAGAAGGAAGTGGAAAATACCCTTGAAAAAAAGAAAGCTAAGACAAAAAGGAAGCCAGACTTACTTTTACATGGTCAACTGCTCACTTATCAATATGGATACTTTTCCCACTATTTTTCCTCCTGGTGGAGACAGCGGGGTGACAAATTCTCAATCTGAGTTCCAAAAAATGTTAATTGACGAAAGGTTACGATGTGCACATCATAAAACTAACTATCAGACTCTTAAAGCTGAACACACAAGGTAAATTGCTTAAATTTGGAGGTAAGGGGCTTTATTAAGAAAATTATTTTTGTCCGAACGTTTGCTCTGGAACATACAGTATAATTTTGTTAGTTTGCAGTATATACATTTAAAACTTCTTGGGGTGCCTGGGTGGCTCAGTTGTTAAGTGTCTGCCTTCGGCTCAGGTCATGATCCCAGGGTCCTGGGATTGGGCTCTGCATCCGACTGCCTGCTCCGCGGGAAGCCTGCTTCTCCCTCTCCCACTCCCCTTGCTTGTGTTTTCCTCTCTTGCTGTGTCTCTCTCTGTCAAACAAATAAATAAAATCTTTAAAAAAAAAAAACAAAACATTTAATACAGTGAAATTTTTGCTTTAAGATTACTTTATTCAAAACTAAACTAAACATGGTCCCAAGTGTGCTATGAATTTATAAGTCTTGCTTTGAAAGTAGCAAGACATATAAAATGTCTAGGTGGCTAAGTGTGTTTTTCCTTTCCCCCAAGTAAAATTGTATTAATAAACTATAGTGTTAATAATTAAACTCTATAAAGAAAAGAGGTTTATGAACTTGATGGAATATATGAAATTGGTCTTGTTCTGTAGTGTTGGTTGACTTCACATAAAGTAATGCAATTAGGATAAAGCAAAGGATATCCTTAAAGTTCAATTTTTTCTTTTTTTAAAAATCAGATTGCAAGATGAGTACATAAAGTCACGACATGAGCTAAAGCGCCTGTTAAATGAAAAGCAGACTGACCAGGAAAAATTTCAGCTGCTGCTTGAAGAACTAAGAGGGGAATTAGTAGAGAAAACTAAAGACTTAGAAGAAATGAAACTGCAGGTAAGAAAATACATTTCAGTTAGTACTATTGGGGAAAAAATTTCCTCTGCCCTTCTGGGTCCTTCTAAACTGGATAAGAATCAAATTGGCATGAGATGAGATTAATAAGAGAAAATCAAATTTAGTTTCAAAAGTATGCAGAATCCACACAAACATCACAAACATGAAATTCCAAAGATAGGCAACAGTAGGCTTATATGACATCCTGAGCTAGGGAGACAGGTAAAGTCTGGGGATACAAAGGGAAAGCAGATCATTAGCAGGATGGTGAGAGAATTTTGGAAAACAAAGGTTGCCCTGTTAAGCAGATAAATTTCTTAGGTAAAAAGGAACCTCTGTTAATAGCTCTCTTCTTGGTATAGCCTCTCTTTCCAATTAAATTTAGGCAGTTGAGAGGGAGGTAAAGAGCTTTTCCTAAATCTGCTGGGTTTTGATTGCTTTTAAATCAAAATCTTCATGCCAAAACAGCCCATCCTGGGGAGGCCTGCCTTTTGTACCTATGATACAAAAGTAGTCCGATGTTGCTAAATTTGGTGAATTCTGCCTACATTCTTAATGAGTATTTTGCTGTTGTCCACATGGTATAATTTAATATTCTTTCATATATTCTGGAATGTTAGTTACCATGTGGGATTTAGCCATGAAACTGTTGTTTCATGTAAATTTGTATTATATTACCTGTCCTGATTTAAATATTTCACTCTTCAGAATAATTGCGGGAAAGGCTGGTTTGAATTGATAAATATTGAGAGTTAAAAATATTTTTTTAAAGAAAGTTTTACTGATTTTCTTTTAAGTATTATAACTGCAGCTGAGCTAAAAAAGACATATTAAAAATTTTTTTCATTACTGAGGTATAGTTGATAAGACTGATAGTTATTTTTAAGGGACTTCTTAAAAGACTATAAAAACAATATGTGCACTTATTTTATGTGTGCAGGGTAAATGGAGTTTCTAAAGCAGAGGATAGTACTATCATTTCATTTCTCATTTGCCTAGAAAGGAGACCAAAACTAAACTTACTATAAATTTCAAATTAGTAGATATTAGCAATTATATTTTTCTGTGTTCATTTAATCTCTAAATGGTACCAGCTGTGTATTTCTGTTTAGTGCTTGGTACAAATGATAAGTATTTTTAATACTGGAGTCAGAAGTTGATAAGAGTAAAAAGCTACCTTTTCAGTCATCTAATATGGCATATTGCCCAATTCATGGATTCCTTTGACAGCAGTGTTAGAAGTTGGTTATTCAGTATCTTTTTGAAATCTTCCATTGTTGGGAACACCATCACTAAGCTTGGGTTGGAGCCTCTATTGTGGTGTTTTATTCTTAGGTGTATTTAGGACATTTAAACAAAAACCTCACAAATAGGAGTTGAATAGGCAAATGTAATTTAAGCCTATAGAATTGGTGGATTAATTTGTTTTGCAAAAATTGAGCGGCCATAGAAATGAGAATCTGTGAGCACTGATTCCAAGGAATTCTTCCAAATATTCTTCTGGCACTGTAGATATAAACACTCTAGTCTTCTTTAGCATATTGTTTGCACATGCTTGGTACAAATAAGCATGTCTCCATGTCAGTTTGAAGGAACAGTAATTATATTAATATCAGATAAAATTTACTTCAAGACAAAAAGTGTCACTTAAGGTAAAAAGGTCATTTTTATAACCAAAAAAAGGGTCAATTCACCAGTGAGATGATGACCTTCAACAAACATCTGTTTTTATGCCTTAGTTTTGTCATGTGGTAAAGAGGATAAAAGTTGTTAACAGTGGTTTTTGTGAGGACTGATGAAATAACATGTATATTTTTAGTATAGTGTCTGACACATAGCAGATACTCATGAATGATGGCATTTATTCTATTTGAATGCAGGCTCCGTAAGGGCAGGAACTCTTTCAGTGTGTCTTCAGTGCTCAAGTAGATTTCTCTTTGTATTTGTATATTTTATAATATGTTAGCAAATTTTTGTTGAATGAATGACATGAAGAAGTAGAATAAATGGATGACTCGGAATTGAGGTTCTGTTCATATATAATACAATGTTCTTTCTTGTCTCATATGTACCTAAAGCTTCAGCATCTTAGAGTTAATGATGCTCTCATTGTTTCATATCTGTAATGAGTTAACTTGTGTTCGCCAAAAAATATGTTAAACTTCTAATGCCCAGTACCTCAGAATGTGACCTTGTTTGAAAATAGTCTTTGCTGATGTAATTAGTTAAGATGAGGTCATACCGAAGGATGATGGGCCCTTAATCCAATGTGACTGGTGTCCTTCTAAGAAGAGGAGAACAGACACAAGGACAGAAACACAGGGTGAAGGGCAGGGAGTGAGGTGGGGCGAATGTCCTGTTATGACAGAAGCAGAGATTGAAGGGCTGCAGCTGCCAAGCAAGGACAGGGATCAACAGCACACCACCAGAAGCTAGGGTGAGGCAAAGAAGGATCCTTCCCTTCAAGGAGTGTGGCCTTGCTGACAACTTGATTTCGGACTTCTAGCCTCCAGAGCTGTGAGACAATAAATTTCTGTTGTTTTAAGATAGCCAGTTTGCGGTATTTTGTTGTCATAGCTCTAGGAAACTAATACACTGTTCAAAGCCGAATTCCTTTTTGGAACATTTGTGACACAGGGATCTTTATTCTCTGCCTCCGTGCTTTCAGTGGGAGAGAACTTAGTGAATGTTTAAAGTGATCCAGTTTCATTTATGGATTGAAGTATGTTAAGTATTTTCCCTGTCATATTGAAATGAAATCATCCTCCCTGTAGCCTCTCTCTTGCTTCTTGTACTGTTCCTTGGATCTACACAAAATAACTTTAGACATTTCTCCATGTGATAACTTCCCAGATGTTTGCTGACAAATATATTTTGTCTGGTAAAGTTTCTGTTTTTCAAGATAAACATAAGTGGTTTCTCTATGATATTTATCTGGCAAAAATAAACTAAAATAAAGATCTATATTATGTATGCATGTTGAAGCTAAATTTAGCTATTTGCTTTATGGATGTTAGCAATTTGTACGAGTTCAATAAAATTAAGTAAACTCAACAAAGTAGAAGCAATAAGAAATATGTTAGTAAATGTTTATGAAAGATGATTATTTTCAGGATATACATGTGTTATCTTGTCTACCTACAAAATGCCTTTTCTGAGCTAAGATTTAATATCCCTTCGGCTTTTATAGAAAAATGATATAAAAGATAATCAATTAAAGAATATTTCTATGTCACTTGTGTAGTTGTAGTGAATGGAAATAATAATAGTGCCTAACTTATATGATGATTGTAAAGACGAAATGAGTTAGTGCATAGAAAGTGTTAGTACAGGGGCGCCACTCAGGCGTTAACCGTCTGCCTTCGGCTCGGGTCATGGTCGCAGGGTCCTGGGATCGAGCCCCGCACCGGGCTCCCTGCTCAGTGGGAAGCCTGCTTCTCCATCTCCCACTCTCCCTGCTTGTGTTCCCTCTCTTGCTGTCTCTCTGTCAAATAAATATTAGAAGAAAAAAAAAAGAAAGTGTTAGTACAATGCTTTGATATAGAAAGTGGATAGAACATGTTAGCTGTTGTTATAGTGTTATTATGTACCATGTTATGAGTTATTTGATAATATTTCTGTTACAAATTTTAAAAGTTACTTTACCAAAAATTTATATGCTTTCTTTGTGCCAGGCAATGGAAACTATATAACCCAGTATGTTTCCCATTTTATTTGGCTGCTAGGAAGCTCAGAGCTAAATTTATTATTCAGTTTGTCATTAGTTTTTTTAGGAATCTCTGGCACAGCAGTATCTGCCTTCTTAAATTAAAACATTCTTTGAAAAATAGTGGTCTATTTTATATTATTAACATGACAAGTGTTGATGTAATATAGATTTAATATAGGTAATGACACATGGACTGTTGTATGATAAAGCATTCTTGTAAGTTTCTTTTGAGACAAGTGGTGGCAGTATTCCATTAGAAGTCTAAGACACAGCATACTTTTCTCCTAAAATGGCATGGAGAAAATCCTCTAATTCTGTGTCTTTGGTGTATGTGTGCTTTGGCAGGGTTGGGAGGGAAGATAGATTTTTCTTATGTGTGTGTGCTTGTTTTTTATAAGATTCTTAGGAGATAACAAAAAGATCTTGTTGAGATTTTTTTTTTTTTTAAATCAGAGACCTTATAGATTACAAGATTCTTGTGTAGTTACCAACTTCAGTGTTCTTTTCTCCTTTGTGTGGATCATATTTTCATTGGTACCATTTTCCTACTGTCTTAAGGTCTTTCTTTAATGTTTCTAAAGTAAGATCTATATGAGAAATTTTTTCAGCTCTTATATATCTAAAAATAATTGATTTTAAAGATAGTTTTGCTGAGTATTTATTTCTAGGTTGACTATTTTCCCCCCTAGTACTTTAAAGATGTTGCTCTTCTGTCTCCTCACTTATGTTGTTTCACATAAGAAATTTGCTGTCATCTTTATCTTTGTTCTGTGTATACAGTGAGTCTTTTCTTCATGGCTGCCCTTAAGATTTTCTCTTTATTGCTGATTTTGAGCAATTTGATTGATATGACTTTGTACTTCATATTTACGGTGCTTAGGGTTTATTGAGCTTCTTGGGTCTGTGGGTTTACAGTTTTCATCACCTTGAGAAAATTTTTGTATGTGACTTCTGAAAATATTTTTTTCTGCCTCCTCTTTGATCTCCTTTGGGGATTCCATTATTAGGCCACTTAAACTTCTCCCATAACTCACTGATGCTCAGTTTATTTATTTTCAATCTTTTTTGTCTCCTTGTTGGATTTTGGGTAGATTCTGTTGTCCTGTCTTCAAGTTCACTGATCTTTTTTCTTCTGCAGGATCTCATCTTCCATTAATCCCATATAGTATATATTTTTCATCTCAGAAATTGTAGTTTTTACACTGAAGTCCAATTTAGGTCTTTTTAATAACTTCCTTATATCTACTTAACATGTTCAGTCTTTTCTCTAGCTTTTTGAACATACGGAATTCAGTTATAATAACTATTTTAATGTCTTTGCTAATTCTAACACCTGTATACTTCTGGGTTGGTTTTGGTTGATTGATTTTCTTGTTTATTGTGGGTAGTATTTTCCTGCTTCTTTGCATGCCTGATAAATTTTTATTGGATGCTAGACATTGTAAATTTTATGTTGAGTGCTAGATATTTTTATATTCTGATATTCTTGAACTTTGTTCTGGGACAGTTACTTGGAAACAGTTTCATCTTTTTGGGTCTTGCTTTTAAAGATTTGTTAAGTGAGAGCAGATTAATATTTAGTGCTCACTACTTGCCACTGCTGAGAACCTTCTGAGTACTCATTTCTCAATGAAATGAAGGTTTTCAGTCTGGCTTTTGGAAAAAGGAACTATTCATAGCTCTGTGTGAGCTCAGATTACTCATCCATGTGATTCATTCTTTTCCTGGCCTTAATTAAATATTTTCCTTACATACATGTGCTGATCGGGGTACTCTTCTGAATGAGCCTTTTGCAGATCTTCATAATTTTGTTTCTGTGCCACCCTCTTTTCTGCTACCCTGCTTGTGATTCTAGCCACACTGCTCTCCCTGGATTTTTGTTCCATTTGCTTTTAAGTCAGAGAGTCCATCAGATTCTGCCTGGATATCCCTTCCTGTGCATGGCCTGGAAGCATTCTCAAAGCTTACTTTCTTTGTTGTTTGTCTCTCAGGGATCTTTGTTGCTTAATTATGCCCACTATCTTGAAAACGTTTGATTTTTGTTTATTCTTTTATTTGTTTTAGGCAGGAGAATAAATCTGATCTCTATTATGCCATCTGTTGGAAGTGGAAGCCCTTTTATTTCTAATTGGTACTTGTTTGAGATTTCTGTAATTAGAGGTTAAAGTAGAAAGGGTGGTTGTGTTGCATCCTCACATACCCATCAATACTTGTTTTATCTTCTGACATCCCTGCTCTGTCTTTCAACCCTTCTGGATTATTTTGAAGCAAATCATCTCAACTCTAGTATTTTAGTATATATCTTTATATCAAGGTAATCTCTCCTTTAAAAGCATAGCCACAATACCATTATCATACCTAAAAGTACTTATTCCCTAATGTCTTTTAATACTGCATCTTTGTTCACATTTCCCTAATTTCCCCACAGTTCTGCTTACTTTTAAAAAAAGATTTTATTCATTTATTCGAGAGAGAGCGTGAGCGAGAGAGTGAGAGAGAGAGCATGAACAGGGGAGAGGGGCAAAGGGAGAAGCAGACTCCCCGCTGAGCAGGGAGCCCAACGTGGGGCTCCATCCCAGGATCCCAGGATCATGCCCTGAGCCAAAGGCAGATGCTTAACCAACTGAGCCACCCAGGTGCCCCCAGTTTTGCTTATTTTTAAAGTTGTTTTGTTTGAAACAGGATCTAAATAAGGTTTATCTATTATTCTTTACCTTTTAATTACCACCCCTTCTCACTTTGGACTCTTGATACTATCACCCAGACTCTTGACATCATAAACCAGATTATAATAAGAGCTTTCAATGTGATTTCCCAGCTCCACTCACTGCCTCCCCCACTCCTGCCCTAGTCACCAATTTTCTCCCACCAAAGGTTTTGATCCATCTTGCTTCTTCCTAAAATATAGATATGGTGATGCCATTCTTAAGCTTGAATACCTTCAGTGAATAAGCAAAGTACAGAAAAATGTGTATAGTATGCCTTTCTTTACGTAAAAATTAAAAAGTGGTGTTTATGCTTATATATTTGTATGTTGTTTCAAGAAGGATATATAAGAGGTTAGCCATGATTGCTTCTTAAGAGGGAAACTGGATAACTGAAGGAAGAAGACTTAGTTTTTTAATACTTTTTTTGTTTGAATTATGTATGTAATTATATTTATTCATTTTAAGTAAAAAAAATAAATAAATACTGTTGAATACTGAGTAAATTATAAGAGTCTGAATCTGATATTTAGGAATCTTCTACTTATAGCTCGCATCTCTTTCCCTTTTGTTCCCAGCCAGGATGTAGCTCTCCTAAGTGGCATTTGGAAATGTTTCAGCATGGCCTTGATTGTCACAGTATCTAGAGAGCATCAGTGCACAAGGATCCAGGATTCTAAATTGTCTGTAGTGCTTAGTGCAGTTCAATCCAAAATGCCTTTAGCATACCTTTGAGGAGCAATTTTTTCCCCCCAGGGAATTTAAAATGTTATCCATTCTTAAGTTTCTAGCTCTGTTTAAGCTTTAGTTTTCCCATACCTTTGATGTGCCACTATTTCTATACTTAATATTTTTTCTGTTGGTCTTTACCTGTCTGATAAGCCTATATTGGTTATTTTTATAGTTATTTGTATGTATGTTATTTTTCATATGAGAGTTTGAACTTCTTATGGGGCAAGAAATGCTTCCTGTGAGTTTTTGTGATCTTTACAAAGTTAGACTCTGTGTATGCTTCAGTTTCTGTAAAAAAAGGGGGATGATAATATAGCTACATTGAGGATCATTACAGGGATTAAATCAGTTAATGCATGGAAGATATTTAGAACAGTATGTTATATAGATTATATAGTATGTTGCAGAATGTTTTGTATGTAGTAAGTATTCATTCAGTGAAGTTTTTGGACTGTTTGGAGTATTTATGAATAAATGAATGAATTACTCTTCACTTTCAGAGGTTAATGTAAGTACATGCTAGGGTTTTTTTTTTTTTTTTTTTAAATATTTTATTTATTTGACAGAAAGAGATACAGCCAGAGAGGGAACATAAGCAGGGGGAGTGGGAGAGGGAGAAGCAGGCTTCCCGCCAAGCAGGGAGCCCGATGCGGGTCTCGATCCCAGAACCCTGGGATCACGACCTGAGCCGAAGGCAGACGCCCAGTGACTGAGCTAGCCAGGCGCCCCTCCATACTAGGTCTTTGTTTGTTTGTAATTTTTTTGTTTGTAATTGAGTGATCCTGTGCCCAGGCAGTGGTGTGAGGTGTTGGGAACACATCATGGTGAATAAAGACTGTGTTTGCCCTTCAGGAGCTTACATAAATACTTAATCATTTTTTGAAATATGAGTTCTATAAGAGAACGTAACAGGGAGGAGCCTTGTTTTGGTGCTCAAAGTAAAAGTCAGCCTTTTCTGATCGAAAATAAGTCTGAAGAATTCTCTGTGGTGTACCAGATTATTACACCTTTGTTTTGATTTCTTTAGGAAAGAAATAGACTGTTAGCCATTATATAAAACATGGTAACCTTAGCTGCCAACAGAGTTATTCCTAACAGTCACGATAATAATAATAATCAGTTACTATCTTTATCTCATGTTAATGGAATTTTTGACACATCTGAGAGCCTGAAATTGAGATCTTCAAGTATTGTTTCAAATGATAGTTCTATTTATATAGTGATTACTGTAGAATTAGGTATATTGTGAAATTTCTATGAATTGGATTTTATTATAATTAAGCATTGCAATTTGGTGTATTCTTGATTTTAGTATTTGTGATTTTATACTTAGAATGCTTTTTTCCTCTACATACTAGGTATTAACTCCACAAAAGTTGGAATTGTTACAAGCCCAAATACAACAAGAATTAGAAACTCCAATGAGAGAACGTTTTAGGAATCTGGATGAAGTAAGTAATTTATGTAGAAGGAACTGTGCATTTATCTTTATATGACTGATCAAAAGCCCCATTCTCTTATTCAGAAACCCTGCAGTAGCTCCCCTTCTAACTCAAGGGGCTTTTAGGGCTGCACAAGATCAGATCCCATTATCTCTCTGACTTCCTTCCCCCCATCCATATTGGCCTCTTTGATGTTTCTTTGGCACTCAAGAAATGAAACAGATCGAGAATCTTTGCTATAGCTCTTACTTCTGGCATGAACAGTATCCTTCCAGATATCTCTTAGCCAACTTCCTCATTTCTCTCTCTTTTTTTTTAATATTTTTAAAATTATTTATTTGAGAGAGAGTGCGCGCATGTGAGAGAGCATGAGCAGGGGGTGGAGGGCAGAGGGAGAGGGCGAAGCAGGCTCCCCGCTGAGCAGGGAGCCCAACTTGGCGCTCGATCCCAGGATTCTGGGATCATGACCTGAGCTGAAGTCAGACGCTTAAGCAACTGGGCCACCCAGGCGCCCCTTTCTCATCTCTTTTAAGTCTTTGCTGAAAGACTTTGCTCTCAGTGTGGCCTACTTTGTGACCAACCTGTATCTCCATTTAATACTGCTTCCTGCCCTTCCCACCACTTTTAAAAATTTTTTTATTGTTATGTTAATCACCATACATCATTAGTTTTTGATGTAGTGTTCCACCATCACTTCTTAGACCTTTAGATCCCCATTTACCCTGCTCTACTTTTTATTTTTCTCTAGTACTTATCCTCTAATATTCTGTACATTTATTGTGCTTATTATTTTCTTTATTACCATCTCTAGAATGTAAGTTGCATGAGAGGAGGAACCTTATCTGTTTGGTTCACTGTATAGTCTAAGTTCCTAGCATGCAATAGGTGCTTAGTTAATATTTGTGGAATGAAAGAGTGTATTTCATGCAACCTCAGAAAAATTAAAATTTGTTACAGTTTTCCTTCAGACTGAAATGTTTCCTTCCTCTTATGAAATTTCATGTTGATATAATATGATTAAATGTTTAATAAATGGAATAGTGAAAGACATATATTAAGTACTATGCCAGACAATTTATATATGTAACTTTATTTAATGAATAGACTGGGCCTTATACATAACGCATGAATATTGTCCCCTTCAAAATGGACCCCTTTGGAAAGCTGTTGTCTAGTGATGCTGCCATGGCACAAAATAGCTGTAGAATCCGCTTTTATAAATGGCTTATTGGCTTGGTAAAGTCGTCTTTTGAATATCCTCCTGGTGGGTAACCAAAGCATTATGCTTGGGAGTAGATTTAATTTTTGGATTTAAACAAAGCCATTTAGACCTAAGGTTAAGTGATCAAGTTAAGTAAAAGCTTTTTTTTTTTTAGTAAAATCATGAAACCCATTTTCTTGGTTTGTAAACTTGCTTGGAGAAATCTTTCAACCAAAGAGTTACAGTGAGCTGAATATTTTAGAAGGTGTTCTTATTACTTAATTTCCTGATGAATGTTGAAATAGCATCTCCTTCATTTTCTCTATTGCCTAAGTTCTTACTGATTTTAGAATGCCAAGAACTTTTGTAGTGTTAGTAAGCAGAATTGGAACATACCAGAGATTCGCATGTGTTCTGGTTAGTCAGGAAAGTTGGTGCTACATATATTCTTTAGACTGCTGTGTTGAACTATCATTGTCATACTTGATTGAACCTTAAGTTATTGTACTAAATATTCAAATAGTATTTTATCTACTTAGAATTCATCCTGACTGTTAGGAGGCTATTTTATATTTTACTATAGAGTTAATTTTTAAAATTTAACTAATTTTGAAAGGTATACTACATTATTAAATATTATTCTGTTAGGCCCACAGGTCAAAACTTTTAATGTGCTATTCGTTTTTATTATTATGAGAATCAGTGAGGAAATAAGGTAAACTGAATGGTAATTTGCTCTATTGGCACCTTCTCAAGAATGTACTGATTCTGTATGTAGGATACTTGCCATAAGATTTTTCCAGGGTTTAGGGGCGCCTGGGTGGCTCAGATGGTTAAGCGTCTGCCTTTGGCTCAGGTCATGATCCCAGAGTCCTGGGATTGAGCCCTGCATCGGGCTCCCTGCTCAGTGGGAGGCCTAATTCTCTCTCTCGCTGTGTGTCTCTATGTCAAATAAATAAAAAATCCTTAAAAAAAGAAAAAAATTTTCCGGGGTTTACTTATATTTCTATTAAGCTTATTTTTTTGCTTTTTAGAATGGCTTTCAATAAAATTATATTTGCAAAAGTGATTTTTGGAGTGAGTACAAATTTCATTTATAAACGTGTCATAAATTACACTCTCCTTTTAATTTAGGAAGTGGAAAAGTATAGAACTGAATATAATAAGCTTCGCTATGAACATACATTTCTCAAATCAGAATTTGAACACCAGAAAGAAGAATTTGCACGTATTTTAGAAGAAGAAAAAATAAAATATGAATCAGAGGTGAGTGATTATACTAGTTTAGTCATTATTCTTCTAGTCTGTAAAATTTTGATTTTTTGTAAATTCCAAGTTAGAGTTGATTGCATAATTAAGTTTCATTCATTAATGGTAAAGTATTTGGCATGATATTCATCTGTTCTACAGTAACATTGTTTTTTGTGAACATTCTTTTTGGCTGTTAGCTTTTCCTCTTTTGTTCCTCCTTTATTTTGCCCTAGTCAATGGAGATAGTCTCTTTTCTTTCATAGAGAGACAGACTTCTTTCTACAAATACAGTTTTTTATATGACTTTTTTATGTAAAACTGTCCCCCTCTACTTTTTGGAACCAAACCACGTCCAGGAGAGCTCTGGCTGTCAGCCCATGTACCTTGTTTCTACTGACAGAAATAAGGGGTTTATACTTTAGGGCGTGCCCATCACATTCAAGAAGTGTACCTTGTTCTTTCTGACATCTACAACTGCAGAATTTTCTCTCTGCTGCCTACAGCATGTTCTCCTACTCTGTCTCTACTGCTTAGACAGCCTTTCTACTCATTTTATGTTTCATCTCCTAATTTTGCCAAAAATGAAATTTGTGTTTATCATTCTTTATGGACTTATATGTGATTTTTCAGGATAAAAAGAAATATCAGTTTTGTCCTGCTATATTCAAGTAAGAAATCTAACACTAGTGGAATTTGTAAACAACAACAACAAAAAACTTGGTATCTGTAGTTATGTGAAATATTCTTTGTACAAACACATCTGCATTATGTATTTATTGCATCATCCTTATTTGGAATTAAGAATTAGAATACACTCACCTTCCTTTACCAATTACTAATTGGATCAAACTGATCTATTCTTTTTATTATTTTTTAACTTTAAATTCAGTTAGCCAACATATAGAACATTACTAGTTTCAGATGTAGAGTTTAGTAATTCATCAGTTGCATATAACACTTAGTGCTCATCACATCACATGCCCTCCTTAATGCCCATCACCTAATTACCCTATCCCCCCACTCCCCTCCCCTCCAGCAACCCTCAATTTCTTCCCTATAGGTAAGAGTCTTTCATGGTTTGTCTCCCTCTCTGATTTCTTCCCATTCTGTTTTTCTCTCCTTTCCCCTATGATCCTCTGTGCTGTTTCTTATATTCCTCATATGAGTGAAACCATATGATAATTGTCTTTCTCTGGTTGACTTATTTCACTCAGCATAGTACCCTCCAGTTCCATCCACTTTGGTGTAAATGGTAAGATTTCATCCTTTCTGATGGCTGAGTAATAATTTCATTGTATATTATCCATTCATCTGTTGGTGGACATCTCCACTCTTTCCATAGTTTGGCTATTATGGACATTGCTGCTATAAACATTGGGGTGCACATACCCCTTCGGAACACTACATTTGTATCCTTGGGGTAAATACCCAGTAGTGCAATTGCTGGGTCATAGGGTAGCTCTATTTTCAACTTTTTGAGGAACCTCCATACTGTTTTCCAGAGTGGCTGTACCAGCCTGCATTCCCACCAACAGTGTAGGAGGGTTCCCCTTTCTCCACATCCATGCCAACATCTGTCATTTCCTGACTTGTTCATTTTAGCCATTCTGACAGGTATCAGATGGTATCTCATTGTAATTTTGATTTGTATTTCCCTGATGCTGAGTGACGTTGAGCATTTTTTCATGTGTCTGTTGGCCATCTGTATGTCTTCTTTGGAGAAATGTCTGTTCATGTCTTCTGCTCATTTCTTGACTGGATTATTTGTTTTTTGGGTGTTGAGTTGGATAAGTTCTTTATAGATCTTGGATACCAGCCCTTTATCTCATATGTCATTTGCAAATATCTTCTCCCATTCCGTAGGTTGCCTTTTAGTTTTGTTGACTGTTTCCTTTGCTGTGCAAAAGCTTTTTATCTTGATGAAGTCTCAATAGTTCATTTTTGCCCTTGCTTCCCATGCCTATGGAGATGTGTCTAACAAGAAGTTGCTGCAGCCAAGGTCGAAGAGCTTGCTGCCTGTGTTCTCCTCTAGGATTTTGATGGATTCCTGTCTCACATTTAGGTCTTTCATCCATTCTGAGTCTATTTTTGTATATGGTGTAAGAAAATGGTCCAGTTTCATTCTTCTGCATGTGGCTGTCCAATTTTCCCAACACCATTTGTTGAAGAGACGGTCTTTTTTCCATTGGATATTCTTTCCTGCTTTGTTGAAGATTAGTTGACCATAGAGTGGAAGGTCCATTTCTGGATTCTCTGTTCTGTTCCATTGATCTATATGTCTGTTTTTGTGCCAGTACCATACTGTCTTGCTGATGACAGCTTTGTAATAGAGCTGGAAGTCCGGCATTGTGATGCCACCAGCTTTGCTTTTCTTTTTCAACATTCCTCTGGCTGTTTGGGGTCTTTTCTGGTTCCATACAAATTTTAGGAGTATTTGTTCCATCTCTGTGAAATATGTCGTTGGTATTTTGATAGGGATTGCATTCAATGTGTAGATTGCTCTGGGTAACATCGATTTTTAACAATATTTATTTTTAATTACTGAGCAGACTGCTTCATGATTGTTTGATAAGTAAGAAGCTATATGAACATTGGAACATTTGAGTCCATTGGTAATACAGTACTAGAAAACTATAAATATTTATAATAGCCTTTTTTATTAAAAACTTCTTTACAGCTCTATTCACATATGATGTCTTGTTATAATAGTCACTGCGATGAAGCAGGACTGTATTATTTTATCCATTTTAAAATGAGGACACTTGAAGCATAAGGTAAGCACCTTGCCCAGAGTCTCACAAAAAGTCAGCAGCCAAGTTTACCATAGAACTCAGGTGCCCCAACTACCAGCCCAAAGTTTTTAGTTTGGTGTGGCAATTTCAAATCATTGGTAATTTCTTTCTTTTTTTTTTTTTT